TTGTGCCATGGCTCTGCAGGGGACAGTGGCATCAGCCCTTGCCTGCGCTGGCACTGCCGCCCCGGGATCCCCCGCGCCCTCGGCAGCCCCTGCCCTGCTCCCTGGGAAGTGCCACCAACCTGGGGGCCCTGGGGGCACACCGTGCTGGGGGTCTGCGGCCACCTGGGTGTCTCCTCCAGCTCCCAGCTGGTGTGTGATGGGGGTGTGTGACCTTTCCTGCGCGGTGCCCTCTGCCTCAGTTTCCCCTCGGTCCCGGAGGCATCAGGATGTGCCCGTCCCCGTGCTGTGTTCCCCCCTCCCCACAGCAGGCTGTGATTCGAGCAGGGAGCAGCGATTACCACGTGCTATTAGCTCGGTGAGCCTGCCCCTCGTCTGATACCGTTCAGCAAGTACAACTGTTTACATAGCACATCGTTCAAAGAATTCGATTTACAGGAATGATCTTTACTTCAAAATAAAAAATTAATACAGTTCTTTTGTTTGTGCGTTTGTATAAACTAGCTGGCACAAAGTCAGTTTACAATGTTCCCATCTGAAGTAAATTAGTGAAGTCTCTTAGCTAAGTCTCTGTATAATTTCAGCACAGAAATGTCCTCTCTAAAGCAGCTTTTTTTTTTTTTTTTTTTTTTTTCTGGTCAGCTATGGTCAGGCTGAAAAATTTAAACCTTTCTTTTCCTCCCAAATAGTTTTGCAATTAGTAATTCCAGCACATGATGGTCTTTCTGCATCTCGCTGAGCCTGCGGTGGGCGGCAGCTCTGTGGCGTGGTCTTGGGCACGGGCAGAGTGTGTTGGCTGCGGTGGGCTGACCCGGGCTGGGGCCGGGGGCTGCTCTGGCCGACCGAACCCGAGGGGCTTGTGGTGCGGGGTGTCTCCTGCCGCTTGGTGCGATCGTCTCTTCTCGGTGTTTCGTGCCTGCCCTGAGAGATGCTGGAGCTGCTCGGGCAGAGGTGGCAGTGGCTCCGCTCCCCGGCCAGCGTGGGCATCGGCGGTGGTGGGGAACCGAGTGGGAGCCCCTGGGGAGCCCGAGGCGGTGGTGGAGGATGCGCTGGGGGTGTGCTGGGAAGCAACTGGGGCTGTGTTGGAGCCAGAATCGGCTCTGCGGTGACAGAGGAGACGCTCGCATCTCCCCCGCTGCTCTTGCTGCTGCTTGCTGCTCATTGCATTTATTTTTTTAAGCAGCAGTGATGCTAAAATGCAGAAACCAAACCAAGGCCGTGCCTGACCCTGCCTGCGCTGCAGGCAGCAGAACCTCCTGGCAGGGGCGGGGGTGCAGGGCCGTGGGGGCCACGTCTGCTGCTCCCCATGAATCGCCCGCCCTTGGCCGGCGGCATCCTGGCAGAAATGGGGTTTTGCAGAAGCACGTGCAAACCCCCAGCGTGGGGATCGTGGCCGTCTCGTTGCCTCTCCATTGCGCTGAGCTACTTTCCAGCATAACTCGCTTAAGCGTGAGCATCCTCCTCTTGCAGCGAGGAGCCTCCTCGCAGGAGGAAAAAGCAGATGCATGCGCCCGTCCGTGCGAGGAGAAAAAACACATGTTTTGATTTATGGCAACGGGAGAGAACCGGCTCTGACACAGTTTCCATCCGAGTCTCACGCTGGCTGTTATCAAAACAAAAAGCCCACGGGCTCGGAGGCTGATTCATGGCGCTGCGTCACCTCAGCCCCTTGGCCGCGTCTGGCGCCGTGAGGCCACGGCGAGTCACGCCCTGCTCCTGCCCGCACCGCTGCCCGGCCGCGGCAGAGCGGCACCAGCGGGGTGGTTTCGCCGCAGCTCTTTCCTTGCACGGGTGTTGTGGGGTTTGGGCTGGACGGGGCGAGCGACGGGGCCGGCAGCAGTGCCCGCCCCCCGGCGTCGTGCTGCCTGCCCTCTCTGCCTGCCCTCACCCTGCCTCTTCTCCTCCCGCAGCCGGTTTGGTACCAAGGGCGCCCGCTGCGGCAGGCAGATCTACGCCAGCGACTGGGTGCGGCGAGCGCGGGGCAACGCCTACCACCTCGCCTGCTTCGCCTGCTTCTCCTGCAAGCGGCAGCTCTCCACCGGCGAGGAGTTCGGCTTGGTGGAGGAGAAGGTGCTGTGCCGGATTCACTACGACACCATGATCGAGAACCTCAAGCGAGCGGCAGAAAACGGTACGCAGCCCCGACGCCGCGGTTGTGGCTTTGCCCCCGGGACCGGGCAGGGCTGCCCCTGTCCCCTGTGCTGCCACCCATCACGGGGTGCCAGGGTGGGTCCTGTTGTCAACAAAAGGGGGTAATGGGTGGTCCTGGGGGGGGCTCGACTGCAAGGCCCTGGGCTGGCAGAGGGCTCATGGGGGTGGCCAACGTGCTGGCAGCACCCGTGGCTCGTGGCA